AATTCTAAGTACATTTATTAATTTGTACCTTTTTATTTCTGAAATTTTGAAAAACAAATAATTTAATTAAGATACTTTATATCAATCAGTGTGCATATTATATTTTATGAGCAAATTATTTACTTAGTAAATAAAAAATGATTGACATACTGCATTTACTATATAATTTACTATGTAAATATAAAAATACTAAAATATGACTTCTTTATTTTATATTTAAATAAAAAATAATTTATACTACAAAAATCTGAATATATTTTTTATCAATTGAGATATTAAACTATCATTTTTAAGTATTTTAATTTTGTATCTTTCACTTAAGAAAAGAATCTCAGGTATTTAAAACATTCAAAATTAGCATATTATTTATAATATTCTTTTTTAACTTGAACTAATTTTAATATAGGAACTATTCCAAGTTTTGTAAATGATAATAATATTTTATTTGAAGAAGAAGATAATATTTTGAAGAGAAAAATAGAATATGACAAAGTATTTCTAGAAAAATTAATAAACAAGAAGATCTAATATTACTAGGTATTAAAGGTAATAATTCAAAATTGATAAAGCAAATATTTAATATAAATGAATAACAGTCTAATGTTTTTCATTTTGAAAGTTTTATTCAAGCATATGAAACTATTTATAATAAAGAAATGGGTGAATATGATAATGAAATAGATAATGAAATAGAAAATAAAATTGAAGTTAAAATTATTAAAAAAGAACAAGAATTAAAAAATATTTTGGAATTGTAATATAATAGTGAAGAATATATTATAAATAAAATATTTTCATTATGTGTTATTATTGACATAATTAATGGAAATTTATGAACTTATGATAAAGATAGCAAAAAGAATATTTCTTAATTAGTAGGAATTTGGCAAATTGATACAAATATTGTAGCCAAATTTTTGAATGAAAAGTAAATTTAGGAGTATTTTTGTCACATTTTAATTATGATCAAAAGATCATTCTAATCAAATTAAACAATTAAGAAGTATAGAAAATAGTATAATTTAACGAAAAAGATATTTATTTTATGGAAAATTTTTTTATTTTTAGTTGTAGAATAAACTGCTACTAGCATTCTTAAAATGTTTTTAATAAAAATATATAAGTAGTTTACAATGGGTAATTTAATTATAACACACTTAAAATTTGTTTAAATATTTCAAAATTAGTTAAAGAGAAATTTTCAGATTCTCAGTACATATGTTGTAGCTGTTTTGAAATTAATAGAAGGCATATTCATAAATAAAGTAGTTCAGGAAAATCTAAATTTAATTGTAAAGATGCTGAATTATATGATAAAGATTCTAATAAAATGCTTTTAGTATTAGCAAATTAGCTTTTTTATATTATAGAAAATAAGAATAAAGAAAAGAAAAATGATATTTTTACACAGATGCTAAATTATATATTAAATATTCTTTAAAATATAACTAAAGTTAAAAAAAATATTTCATATTTTATATCAATTAATAATCTTAACGTAATTTATCAATTGTCAATTTTTTTCTCAATAAATACAGAATCAAATTCACTAATACCTACTTTTTTTGTATTTTAAATTCTTTTAAAATTAAATAAAATTTCAAATAAATATTTTTTTAAATCACATATTACTGATGAACAATAGCCTGATATAAGAAAAAAATTAGGAAAACGAATTTGTAAATCATGAAAAAAATTAAATGAATATAAATCTAAAATCTAAAATCCAATATCTCTTAATAATTATCATTTAGTTTTTTCATTATATTTAACTAGTTTTTTTGAAAATTTGTGTAAGAAAATTTTGAAAAAAAAATTAAAAATATTGAATACTATATTAAAATCTTGAAATAAATCACCAAAATAACTTAATGAACAATTAGTAGTAAAAATAGTAACTTTTCTTATTTTAGTATTAGTTGAAATTGCATTTTCAGATTTAAAAATTTAGTTTACTTAAATACTTATAAGTCATAAACTAAAACTTATGTAACAGTTTTAACATTTTCTTTTTATTTTATGAATAAGTGATTATATAAATAATCAAAAAAGAAAATTAGAAAAAGTTAGAATGAAATCTATAAATCTATGTTAACATCTTTATATAAGTGATAATATTTGGAATCTAGCAATTATAAATAATATAGATTTTAAGAAATAACTTTCAGATATGAAATTATTTTTGATATGATATGTACCAGTATATATACTACATTTAGAATAGTTTTTTAGCATTAAATACCTTTTGATCTCTATGAAAATAAAAGTGATGAAAATTAAATTAATTCTCTGTTAAATTTGTTTGAAATGAATCAAATAATTAGAAATACCTTAGATATTTTTAATTCAATTTTAGATAAACTTCTTAATATTACTATAAATTCACAAAGAGTGGTAGCTTACTAAATAAATTTTGATATAACTACTGTATATAAAAATATTTTAAATTATGTTGAATATAGATGCAAAATAAATTCTCTAAATATACAGTTAACTCTTGTTATAACAAACTCTATGTCTTAGACTTCAACTTTGCTATAAGGCTATAGTAAAGATTTTAAAAGATTTAATTGACCAATTCGCCATAACAAGAGTATTTTTATTATATTTGTTCAAAAAATTTGTTATATAAAGAGTTCACTATATCAAGAGTTGACTGTAGTAATTTTAGAGCTTAGAGAAATTCTAAGTTCAAATGAAGGTATTTTTGAATTTATACAAATGTATAAAAAAGATTTAGAATTAAAATCAAAAGAATATTTGAATATAGTTAGTGATGAAGCAATTTTTCAAAGAATGATTAAACAAATGAACAAATAGCTTCAATTACATCTAATTCTTAGTCAATAGTATACTTCTAAGGATATGTGTAGCATTTTAATTGTATTTTTTTCAAGTTATAGTATTTTTAATCTTATGAATTAGCTTGGTGTTAAAACTTTAAAAAAGTTAGAATCTGTTATTGATTATAGATCTACTATTTATATTTTTAAATTAATATAGACTACTATAACCTTAACAATACAAATTTATATTAAACAAAGAAATTAATAAAAATGATATTTGTGAAAATAATAATACAAATTTGGTATTTCAAATCTAATACCTTTATTACTAATAAGCTAAAATATTTAAAGTTCACTGTATTAGTATTCAAGTTAGAAGTTATAATTTATAAAAGAATACTTTGACTGCATTTGGTAAATTATTTGTTTCAATAGCTAAAAATCATTATGCTAGTTCTGTATGCTATTTTTTCAGTCTTTTGGCAAAATTTCCTAAACTAGAAGAAAAATTATATTATACAGCCTCTATTAAATTGATGATGATAAAAGATGAAAAGGACATTTTTTACGAATGATAAGATGCTTAAAACTTTTAGAGTCAAATTCATTAAGCAGAATATAACGAAAAATGTAATTAATATTAACAATTTGAAAGTACAAGTAAGATTAGCACAAATAGAACGTGATTGAATTAGAATCTTGTTATCCGAATATCTTGATGATCTAACTGCATCTATTAGAAGTTATACAACAAATCAAAGATATGATGCAATGTGAAATTTAGTTAAAATTTTTCTTCAAGAATTTGATCAAATAAATAAATTATTTCTCAATAGTAACATGTGGAAAAATGTTTTATTAAGCACAGTTAATAGCTGAAGAAATAGATTGACTTAAAAATTGTTTTTCTGATTGAGTAATTTGTATGCAGGCAATTTATTATGAAGATGTTCTTTACTGTAAACAGAATTTGAGGGTTATATAGTAAAATTAAAACATCTTAGTTTGCAATACCCAGACCATCTTGAGAGTATTGAGGCTTTAATTCTCGAGATCAAGGTTCAGAACGCAAAGAATAAATCAATTATAGAAGAATATGAAAAGGAACTGGAATCCAAGAAAAATTGCAAATTTCAGACCAGGTGCATCCAGATAGCTAAGGAAATTCTTAATGAGGAACCTATGATCGAATATCGCTCTCCTTTCATGAATGGATTAGAGCTTGATGCCTTCTTCCAAAAATATCGAATTGCATTGGAGGTGCAAGGGGCTCAGCATCGGTTTTATAGCACTAGCTGGTATAAAAATGTCAAAAAACTCGAAGACATTGTTAATCGTGATCGGCAAAAAAGATGCATATGTCAAGATAATGGAATTTCCCTTCTTGAAGTATGGTATGACGAAAACCTGAAATCGTTATTCCAGAAAGGATACGAAAAATTAAGGAATTCGTTAATCAAGCATCCAAAAGTTTCAATCCCCTATAATCAATAACTTATGATATGTAACTTTATGGTTTAAATTGCAGATAAATATCACATGATTAATATTCGTGAGGCTCGTAGCTCACATTAGTTTCTAGCCAAGGGGAGGGGTGTTTACCTGTATTCTGAAGAAATACCAGATAAATCGGATGATGATTCCTATAATAGGTATAATGAATACGGTGAATATGGTAGAGATTATTATTATCGTGACGGGAGATACGAAAGGAAGGTCTCACCAATGATGAGTCCTATTATCTCCGGTAACCGCCTAGGGGGATGAGATGACCCGCACACTGAATATGACCTTAATATCGTATACTTTAGTACTGGATTATCTTATAAGTTTATTTTTTTCGAATCACGCAGTTCGCTTTACTGTGCCACAGTCGCGTGGTTTTCGCGGATCAGAAAATAGCGCTTTTTATTAATGAAAAATTATACATTTCATTTTCAATCATTAGTTCACTACATAATTGTGTTGCTGTAAAATCTACTGGTGTATCAAAAAAGTATATAAAAATCAATTAATCGTTATGATCTTACGTCATAGAAGATATATATAATGGGTATTCTTTCAGAAAATTTATCAGAAAAATTATCAGAAAAATTTATTGAAATCCTAATCGCCATTAGTCATGCATTTGGAGTAAGTTGTTCATTTGTGTAACGTAAAGTAATAAAAGTCACAAAAACTATCCACACTGTATTAATCATGAACCTCGTCACAATGTCTAACAAACCAGAAGAAAAAAAATTGGAGCCTTTTAAGTGGTCTGAAGAGTCAGACGATAAAAAAAAATTGGAGCGTTTTAAGTGGTCTGAAGAGTCAGACGAAGAATTGAAAAGATTGATAGAGGAGTCGAGAGCCTCTATTAATTGGACCGAAGTAGCCAAGTGGGATGCAGAAGGACGACCGTACGAAGAGCACGAAGAAATCTTACTGTTTTTGAATAAAAATAATAAAGATGAACTTATTAACTTGGGATCTACTGGTAAATCTACTGATTTATATTCTACCTCATGTATATGTTTGACGAACTTGTTAATTTTTTAAGGAACCGGACAATTTGACATTAACGAAAGGAGAAAACAGATACATGGAGGCACTTCTCACACAAGTTCCAGGAAGAGAAATTATACATCCGGGAAAGAAAGCGATTCTAAAAATTCCACCAAAGAATCCATAACCACCGAACGTTACCATCGTCAATATCGTAGTAAAGGTGTTGGATCCCATCCAATTTCCAGTTCAATCACAATACACAAGAAAAATGATTAGCGTCCTGAGTGCTTTAGGTTTTTTACATGGTGTTATTGGTGTAAACGTAGTAGGGAGGGTTAGGAAAAATTTCTATTTTATAACATAAATAAAAATATCAAGTAAACTATGATCTGTTTTTAAATTAATATATAATATTAGTATATACTGTAATATAATAATTAATCTTAATTTATAGTTTTCATCTAATATTTTTTATAATTGTATTTTGTAAGATTCAATTATTTATTAAAAATAATTATCATCATCTTCAGATTCTTTACTTATTTTATTATTTTCATCAAATTTTATAATGGAAAAAAATGATTAATTGTTCTATCATTTTTTAGCATAATTTTTTACTTGAGTATAATATCTGTATTTAATTTTTACTATAAATTAATTAAATGTAATTTTGTATTTGAGTCATTAAAATTTGAAATAAATCTTCTTAATTACATTTAAATTATCATCTTTCTATATAATTTTATTATCACTTTATATATCACAAAAATTTTCTTATAAACTTTTTTCATTATTTTTTAAATTAAGATTTATTTAGCTGCTTGAACATATTTTTTCATTTTTTTAAATGTATTTTTTTCTTTAATATACTAGCCATTAAACTTTATTTTTTAAAATAAAATTATGAAAAGTAACTTATATTTAATTATAAATATATTATTTTATTTATAAATATATTGATTATTAATAATTTTACTATATTATTTAATGTATATTTTAATATTAAAAAAAGCATTAAGAATTAAATTTTTAATCTAAAATTAATAACAAAATTAAGAATATTATATATATATATAATTTATATTAAAATTAAATATATATAACTTTTTATATAGATTTAATTTAAAAAATTAAATCATAATTTATAGTTTATAATCTAATCTATTAAAATATGATAAGTTTTTAAAATAATGTATTTTTTTAAACTATATAGCTATATAAAAATAGGATTTAAGACTTGATAAAATTAAAGAGCTTGAGTTGTATTAATCACGGAAAAAAAATTATTATAAGAGTATTACTATATATTCCTAAAAATAAGCACCCTGTAACATGCTTCTTTTATAGTAATTTATTTATTTGTCACATAGAATTTATTATATTATTTGTCATGTATATACTAATAAATTTATATATATCACGCAATGCTTATTTTTAGAGGAATACGGTAATTATATTATAATTAATGAAGATGATCAATTTGAAATAATTCTTCATATTGGTGATCTTATTAATATTTTAGAAAATATATCAAATGATATAAAAAAAACAAAAAGAATAATTTTATAAGTAAATTTAGGTAATTTTTATTCATACAAAAGAATAATTTAATATTCTTTTTTATTTATTAGATTGATTTATTTCATAAGTAATTAATAATTTTAAATAAATTATTTATATTATAAACTTTAACAAATATTAAATCAAATATGATGAAGAATTTATGTAATTAAATAAATAAATTATTAACTAAATATATACTTAATATTTTAATATTAAAAAACTTGTAATAGTATAAATTATAATAATATTAATATATAATATTATATAATATTTATTATATAGTTGTATAATTAATTTAATATTATAATAATTATTATAAGATATATTAAATTTATTAAATAACTATTACAAATATATATTTTATAAATTATTTTATTATATTAAAAAAAAATAAATAAACTATTATAAATATATTAAATTTAAAATATAATTATTATAAATATATATTAAATTTATTTTATAAATTATATTATTATATTAATATAATAAAATAAAATTATTATAAAACTATTATAGAATAAGTATAAAATAGTTAAATAATAATTATATATATATTTTTAATTATTATTATAAAATAAGATTATAAATTTAGATAATGTATTAGATACAGTCAACTCTTGATATAACAAACTCTTGATATAACGAATTTTTTGAATAAATATAATAAAAATACTCATGTTATAGCGAATTGGCCAATCAAATCTTCACTATAATCTTATAGTGAAGTTGAGGTCTAGGATATAGAGTTCATTATAATAAGAATTGACTATATAAATAATATTATTGAATAGTATAATTTAGTAATAAATGTTAAATATATTAGATATAGTTAATATAATTAATATAATTAATATATTAAATATATTAAATATATTTGATATCTTAATATATTTAATATAATCAATTCAATTAATATAGTTAATATATTATTATATAAAATTAAATTTATATAAATATAATTATTTAAGATTGTAAAAAAAAAGTATTAATTAATAACTGTATGCAAAAATTCTTTAAATAGTTCAAGCATTATAATAAACCACTTATGTTTCTTTTTATTTTTATTTTCTTATCTATTTGTTATTTATTTCTCTTATTATTATCTATTTATTTTATTATAATAAACTTGCATTTTTATTATAAAAATTTAAGTATACTATAATTAATAACTAAAATTGATTAAATTCTATTATTGTTTTAAAGTATAATAAACTAGGATTTTTTAGAAAATAAATCTCACTTTACTTTAAATTATTATGTAAATTATAAAAAAGTTTACTTTTAAATTCTATATTTAGCTATTGTAACTTTAAAGATTATATATTAATAATAATATAATTTTAATATAATAAAAGATTTTTAAAATAAAAACAAAAATATATTAATATTATATTAAAAAAAATAATGTTTTTTAGTAAAGTATTTAAATTATATTAATTAAAATTATTTGTTTAAACCTATTTAAATTTGATAAAATATTTTAAATTTTTAGTTTTACTAATTTTTTAAAATTGTTTTTAATATATTTTACCTTTTTTAAAATTTTAAAATTTTTTAATAATATTTTAATATAATTTTATTAAATTTCACTTTTTTATTTAAATAACTTATAACTTATAAAACTTTTAAGTTTATTTAGCAATTTTAATTAAAATATTAATAATTATTAATTTTTTTAAAAAATATAGTAAAAATTAAAATAATAATTATATATTTTATTATTTTCTTTAATTTTTAATATAGATATATTTAATTTTATATTAAGTATTTCAAAGTTATATATAATATTTATTTATTTAAATAAAAATTATTATTATAATTATAATTTAAATATTATTTTTTGATTTTTTGTAATTGAATTTAATAATTTATATTTTTTAAAGAATTTTAGCTAAACCAATTTTATTTTTAACTTATCTTAGATTAATTTATAAATAATAAAATCATATTAAATTAGATTTTAAGTTAATTTATATAATTAAAATTAGACCTTGTAATTAAATATTTAAACATTTAATTAAATGTTTAATTAAATATATATTCACAGTGTTTAATAAATTATTTAAATATAAGAAAATTGTCTAATTAACATCTTTAAATTTAATAAGTTAAATTTAATTTAATTATAAGAAATACTACTTTATTTAAAATATAATAAAAAAAATTAAAAAATCTTTTAAAAAAATTAATTATTATTATATAATTAATAAATATTAAATCTAACTTAATAAATATTTTTTGAGCTAATATAATCAAATTATTTTATTTTACTTACAATTTAACAATTTAAATTAAATAAATAATAATTTAACTATTTAAAAATATCAACATATAGAAATGTAAATTATTTAAATTAAAAATATTACACAATTTTTATTTAACTATAAAAGCATTTTTTTATAAAATTTGAGTTAATTTTATTTTATTAATTGATGAAAAAATTAATGTAAATTTTATATAAATAATAATATAAAAATATGCAAAAAATTTTAAAGATTTGAAATATTATATGAAAAGTTTGCTAGAAAAATTAGGCTCTGAAAATTTTTTTGACTAAAATTAAGACTTTTATTACATTTTTTAATATATTAAAATATAATTTAATTTGAATTACTATTTATTATAAAATATGATTGTAAAATAGATTATTAAAAATAATTAAAATTATTAATACTCTATTTTCTTTACATTAAATATCTCGATAATTTGTGATTTAAACTGAATAAAATTTTATATATTGTAGCTTGAGATCATATAAACAACATATAAAATTATCATAGAAATTGAAAAATTCGTTAAGTGATTTAATATACAAAATAGTATTCAGAAATTTTTGATAATTCTTTGTAAAATTAAGATCCTAAAACAAAGATTTGCATATAATAATTATATAAATAGTATTATAAATTTTACTCGTAAATAATTTAATTATAATTATTAAGAACTTTAATTGAAACTATCTTCAATTTTCACTTAATTAATTAATATGTTAATAAAAAAGAAAAATTATTTATAAAACTAGAAATTTATAAACTTTTATATAGGGTGGCTAGTATAAAGAATATTAAAGTTGACAGTTAGTAATAATTAATATAAAAAATTAATAGTAACAAGTATAATATTAATTTATTAATTTTATCTAAGTCATACAAAATTTCCGATATAAAACAAATTTGTTTTTAGTGAGCTTCAAAAAATTTTATTTTTTGATATGTAAATATATTATTGATAACCTTATGAAATTTTCATTTATTAAATAATTATCCTTTTATTTTCTCAAATAAGAGATCCCAGATAATTATCAAGTTTATTAAAATCAGGATAATATGGATCGGAACAAAAGATTTATTATTAGAAATACTCGTATTGATCACGTGCAGTATGAGGATAACATATTTCATTTGTTATTAAAATTTCGAAAACCAGAACTAGGATCACTAATCGTGATTATTGAGATGATCTTTATCTAAAATTTTTAATTTTTTGATTCATCAGGGTTGATTTCTTTTCCAAATATTTATTCAAATATTTAATATAACTAGCATATAAATTATTAATTTAATTTAAAATCAGATTTGCGGATTATATAATGAAAATCGATGTGAATCCACAAAGTTATAATTCTTTTTTTAGGAATAACGAAAAAGGTAAAATTAAAAAATGCAGACACATGTTATCTTGGTAAAGTTATTTTCGGCTTTCACGAGATAAATATTTAATTAATCAACTGATATGTATACAGTATAAAAGAGATCTTTTTTTTCTCGACCCGTTACTTGTATTCAGTTAGCCAAGTTTGTTATTATGGACTGATTCGTATTTATATTTCATATGTTCATCCCCTTCCACTGATATCAATATCAAATTATGGTAATTCTTTTTGAGTAGGAGATAGTTTCATACAATAATCAGATGGTCAAACCAAATACACAGGAGATCCAATGCAACTCAAATAATGCATAATTTCGTCATATGTCTAAAAAAGGAAAATAGCTTGATATACTTCTGGTAATAAAACTAGTTGTTTTACCCCACTTTCTTGTTAGTCACGCAAAAGTATCACATGTGTAGTTTCTTTCTCTTTTTTGATTGAAATGTTTTAGATGAAACACTCAAACATTGTATAAGAAGTAAACTACCCTTTTTACTCCACAAAATAAAAAAAATAGTGTATTTTTAATTTAAAAAAGTTTTTTTTTTTGATATTTATGATGTCTGTTTGTTGTACCATGTACACCACATCCACTTTTTTAACCCATTACGTGGAATAAACGTATACATTTCTTTCCAATATTTCCTGAAACGCCAATATACCCAAATCGAAAGGAAAAAGAAACCGATTCAAAAAAACCTTAATTGTCAGCCGCTTTTACATGCTATAACAAGTTTTTTTTTTTTTTTTTTTTTTTTTTTTTTTTTTTATATACAAAATTATATACTTTAAATTCACATGAGAGTTAGATATTTCTCTTACATCTTCAAATGATTTGTAAAGAACTTTATGACGATTATTTCCTAAATCATCAATATATTAAACTTTATTATAAAAAGGATATTTTGAATGTGTACAACAAAAATCTTTATTTTTTAAAAAGTTTTTTTTTTCTTCTGTCTTAACCCATTTTAATCCTTTAAAATAATGAAATTTCAAGAACCAAGCACAGATATACAAGAAGTATGTAGTGAAGCTACGGACGACTCGGATGTTGATGTTGGTTCATTAGGAGGAGATAGTTCGCATAAAACACATACTGTTTCAACTAATAATGTTATTGCACGCATGAGCTTACCTACTCAAGAGGAAAGGTTCTTACAATTTCAACCTCAGGACTTTCCAAATCTTTTGATGCCCGTTAATCGTAGAAGACGTTCTCAATCTGTGAACTAACATCCAGATGATACTGAAAATGAAAAAGAATCAGAATCGGTTCAGCTAGTAGCAATAATATAGAACGTTCACTTATACTTCGTAAAGATTCGGATCTTGCAGTAACTATAAATAGAATGACAACAGCTTCTCGAGCTGGTTTAGATTTGGCAAGTCTTATTACAGGATTTGCCTTGGAAACCGCAAAATTATCTATGAGGGCTGGTTTGGGTATTGCGAAAACTGTTACCGGTGTAATATCGGATAGATTGGTTCAAACTATATCAAGGGATGGTAAATGCGGGTAAGTCATCTAAATAAAATTTCTTAAAATTTTTAATAAATCTTGTTATCTATCACTCTCTTACATATTCCCTTCTAATTTGATCCTTCATAACAAAAGATTTACATATTGTTTTATTCCTAGACTTATTGATACATCAACGACTCTATTACATCACACATTAAATATAACCGAACAAGTTGCATTAGTTAGTTTGGAATTTGCGACTGATACAGCACAATTCGCTTTTGGCACTACAAATGAATCGATGACCATAATTGATACCTTGTTCGGTACCACGGATGCGGCAAAGGCTTTAGCTGAATTCGTTCAATTGGTAAAAAGAGAATTCAATGTAAGTTATGAGCAAGATGATAATTTAGAAGATAACCTTGGTGCCTTTGGAGCTTTTCGTGTGATAAAAGCGTTAACTGCTTGGGCTTGTTTACAATACGTTACAAATTCTAGAATGGAAAATGAAAAAACAGGATGGAAGAGGGTTAAATTGGTAGATCTTTCTGATATGTACGATTGGGTACATATATCAAAGTCTGAGACTGAAGATATGAAAGAAAACATTTATGATGAATTAGAATATTTGTTACTTGAAGATGAAGGGGATGAAGAAATGGTGATTATATCAAATAAATCAAATAATATAGTTATAGGTGAATTGACACCAAAAGAAGAAATACCTGGTTTTAGATTTAGTATGTCGGATGAAAAATCTAAACGTTTAAGTGACATTTATTTAGATGCTACTAAAAGATTAAGTAATCCTTATTTAGAAGAATATGAGTTTCAAACCGAAGATGAAAAGTTATTTTCCTTACTTCATAATTTAAAAAGATATTCAAAATTTGGTAGTAGCGCTTATGATTTTAAAACCGCTATTATTGATAAAATACCTTTCCCAAGATTCCCAATTAAATCACAGAGGTGGAAGGAACGTGGTAGATTACATAGATTTTCATTCGCGTCTAATACCGATTTACCATTTGATAGTATAGTTGATTCATCACACACAAAGACACCAAAAAATCCAAGTAATTATCAACCATCTTATTTCATAATAAGAGATCATACGACCGAAAGTATTATATTAGCTCTAAGAGGTACGATGAGTATACATGATTTAATTGTTGACCTTACTTGTGAGTATGAAGAGTTTCAATTACCCGAAGATGTACAACGTGGCATTGAAACTAAACATAAAGTACATAAAGGAATGTTTCAAGTTGCAAAAAGTCTTGCTGAACCCGGAAAAACCGGTGTTTATGAAGTTTTGAAAAGGGAATTAGAAGCTAATGAAGGTTATGGTTTGGTGTTGGTTGGTCATTCCCTTGGTGCTGGTAAGTAATTCTTCAATTTAGAGCACATTCCATTCCATTTACGCTCGCTCGAAATCCTTTTCTAAATAATTTCACAATTATCTTCACGAATTTTAACTCTCATTTCATCATAGGTGTTGCAAGTTTATTGGCATTGCTGTTGGCTTCGCCTACGACGCGTCAAACGACAGTATGGTCACGTCTTCCACGTGGTCGTAGAGTACACGCATACGCTTTTGCGACACCATGTGTAATGTCCGCCGAGTTATCAAAACGGGTACGTCCATTGGTAACTTCAGTAGCATATGGTAATGATGTAGTCTGTCGATTATCGTTAGGACATGTAAGAGATTTAAGGAATATGGTAAGATTTTTGGGATCTAATAAACAAAAAGATGGGGAAGAAGGACAGGAAACGGCAAGTAAAATTATAAGAAAAGTACTAGATTATCAAAGTCGAACGTTTTTTGCAAATACCGAAGAAGGTAGAAAAGATAAAGAAGAGTTTGAGAATTTCTTTTGGAGAGCACGACAAGATGTTTTTAAACATATGCAAAATGAAAAATTATATCCGCCCGGTACAGTTTATTGGATTATCGGAAATGAAAGAAAACCTTATTGTGATGCTCGTGATGACGATGAAGCAGAAGGGAGCAATAAAGAAGAAGAAAATGCTTCTGACGTTAAAGGAAACGGAAACGAAAAAGAATGTAATGTTAACAACGATGATGATATATTTGAGAAAAAGGGTAACATTACGACGAGTTCTGGCAAACAGTATATAATGTTGGAAATTGATGATGTTTCAAAAATTTTTGAAGAAATTTGGTTTTCCTCTCATATGATGTTTGATCATCTCCCTCATATGTATGGTAAGTAAAAGGAGGTTATATAGTATGAGATGAACTTTATTTTTAGACGCCTTTACTAACTGAATTTTTTTTCATATTTTGTAGAAAGCGTATTGAGGAAGTTGTAACATAATCGTAACTTATGTCATATACATTTTACTATCAAGAGAAAAAAATATCATCTCTTTTTCCATAAATATACATTAATGACTCTGTATTTTAATTATTGTTTTATTATGTTATTAAAAATGAAATTTGTGTATACACATATTTTATCTTGATATAAATTAATTTTTCTCGACTAGAGATATGGTTTATTTTCTTTGAAGGAATTTTTTTGCATGTAATTAAATTATACTAAGAAACGGAGACAGTTGTTAAGTCCCGGAGCGATTTTTGCAAAATAATTGATATCTGCTAACGGAACGGAAGAATTCGATTTATCGTTGAAAGTGAACGCAATAAAAACAAACGATCGAACTGAAATTTTAACTTGTTTCGAACGTAAAATTGCTATTCCAACGCGATCATAATGAAAGATCGTTAAGTCTAATTTTTAGTACAATCACGTGTCATTTGTTGATGAAACTATGACCCTATCATTTAGTTACGAAAATAGTAGAGAATCGGTTGACTAAACTAAATTTGCAATGATGTTTCCGATGTTTATGGTATGAGAAAATGATTTATCAATAATTCACAGAAAAAGATTGTTATGTTATTTGTAAGTTTAGATCAAAATTTTTCAAATTCTCAAAAAAATTTTATTTAATTCGGAATCGAAACAATAATGGAATAAAGTATAAGGAATGCTAAGGCTTGTCCTAAAACGAATAATAAATATAAAAGAAATAGTATTAATATCCAATTAAATATAACAATAAAGAATATGCAGAAAGTTAACTTTAAATATTCGGATTAACCCTATGACGAATTCCTAATCCAGTTTATTACTATAATATGTTGTTAAGTCCGGAGCAATCTTAACTAAAAAACATTACACTGGTATTTGCTTTATTGAGATTTTTGTGCAATCGACTCAAATAGTATTTCACTTCGTTCCGGCTAGGTAACCATTGTTAAGGGACCAATCACGAAACGACTCAAATTTCGAGCGGGGATATTTTCGTGTCACCCAGAATAAACCTAATTAGACTATGCTTTATTGCAAATTATGTGAGTCAAACAGCATAGAATTATATAGTCCTTCGCCAACTCTCCGGACATTATGTAAAATTTTTTTTGTCTGATCATGTGAAATCCAACAAATCTCCAGAAAAGGCTAGTAAAACAGTACCTAAAGTTCACGTTTAACAAATACAATGATAAAGGATCAGGTTCTAGGCCTCTGATTCGAGAGTCGGGGAACACGTACAACCATCACTTGTGATACATAGCATATAAATAGCATATAAATATAAGTGATTTTCAACCGATAATTTTGTTTCTTTGTTGAATCAACTACGATGACTTTTCGAGTCTTAACATTTCGAGCAATAAATATAACCAAAAGTCAAGTTTGTTTCGTTAGCTACATAAAACACTAAATTTAAGCGCGACACCAGCAACTGAATAAACTTCTTCACAACCACCACCACCACCCCCCAGGTTAAAGGTTGCAAGTACCTCAAAACAAATTAGGATAACAACAAATAATTCGTTGAGATTACATCCAAAATTTGGAAAGAATCAAAATTTACCAATTGATGATGAATTTAAGGAACGTTTAAAAAAATTATTGCATAATTTTCAAGCACCTATCCGATACGTCATTGCTTATGGTAGTGGCGTATTTCCGCAACAAGGTTACGATAAAAAGGTGATATTGCATTAAAAGATTTATTAAATTATTATATTTTTCGTGTCTTTATTTATTTATTTATTTATTTTATTTTATTTTAAGAAAGAACCCATGATTGATTTTATATTTACAGTTGGACATCCACAACATTGGCATTCATTAAACATTAATCAAATAGAAATCATTATAGTTGTATGGCTACTTTAGGTAGCGGTGCTATAACTATTTTACAAGAAAAATTTGGTGCCGGTATTATTACAATCCATATGTCAAAATCGAAGATACTGTATGTACACTTGAAACTTTTTCAAATGATATTATCAAATAATTAAATTAATACCCCTTTATATCCCTTAGTTGATTAAATATGGGGTCGTTTCAATAGATAAAATGTGCAAGGACTTATTAAATTGGGAATCACTTTATTTTAGCTGGTAGAATGCATAAACCAATTAAAATATTAAGCGATGATGCAAGGGTCAGATTAGCACAAGTAAATTTAGCAAGTCCTTGCTTCTATTACCAAAAGATTTTACGGAAGAAGAACTTTATTAACAATATCTTCCATATCATTCAATGGTATTTATTTACAAATGAAAGTTGTCATGGAATTTTTTTTTTTTTTTTTTAGTAAAGTAATAATTTGTGATGATGATTTATGTTTAGGTGATTTTCGGAGTCGCATAAAACAGATACTGTTTCGGCTAATAACGTTATTTCACGCATGAGCTTACCTACTCAAGAGGAAAGGTTCTTACAATTTCAACCTCAGGACTTTCCAAATCTTTTGATGCCCGTTAATCGTAGAAGACGTTCTCAATCTGTGAACTAACATCCAGATGATACTGAAAATGAAAAAGAATCAGAATCGGTTCAGCTAGTAGCAATAATATAGAACGTTCACTTATACTTCGTAAAGATTCGGATCTTGCAGTAACTATAAATAGAATGACAACAGCTTCTCGAGCTGGTTTAGATTTGGCAAGTCTTATTACAGGATTTGCCTTGGAAACCGCAAAATTATCTATGAGGGCTGGTTTGGGTATTGCGAAAACTGTTACCGGTGTAATATCGGATAGATTGGTTCAAACTATATCAAGGGATGGTAAATGCGGGTAAGTCATCTAAAAAAAATTTCTTAAAAAATTTTTAATAAATCTTGTTATCTATCACTCTCTTACATATTCTCTTCAATTTGATCCTTTATAACAAAAGATTTACATATTTTTTTAATCCTAGACTTATTGATACATCAACGACTCTATTACATCAACCGGACAAGTTGCATTAGTTAGTTTGGAATTTGCGACTGATATGGCACAATTCGTTTTTGGCACTACAAATGAATCGATGACCATAATTGACACCTTGTTCGGTACCACGGATGCGGCAAGGCTTTAGCTGAGACTGAAGATATGAAAGAAAACATTTATGATGAATTAGAATATTTTTTACTTGAAGATGAAGGGGATGAAGAATTGGTGATTATATCAAATAAATCAAATATATAGTTATAGGTGAATTGACACCAAAAGAAAAAATACCTGGTTTTAGATTTAATATGTCGGATGAAAAATCTAAACGTTTAAGTGACATTTATTTAGATGCTACTGGAGATTAAGTAATCCTTATTTGGAATAATATGAATTTCAAACCGAAGATGAAAAGTTATTTTCCTTACTTCATAATTTAAAAGATATTCAAAATTTGGTATTTGCGCTTATGATTTTAAAATCGTTATTATTGATAAAATACCTTTCCCAAGGTTCCCAATTAAATCACAGAGGTGGAAGGAACGTGGTAGATTACATAGATCTTCGTTCGCGTCTAATACCGATTTACCATTTGATAGTATAATTGATTCACACCAAAAAATCCAAGTAATTATCAACCATCTTCTTTATAATAAGAGATCATACGACCGAAAGTATTATAGTCTAAGGGGTACGATGAGTATATGGTACCGATTTAGTCTGTCGATTATCGTTAGGACATGTAAGAGATTTGTAAGATTTTTGGGATCTAATAAACAAAAAGGTGGGGAAGAAGGACAGGAAACGGCAAGTTAAATTATAAGTAAAGTACTAGATTACTCAAAGTGGAACGTTTTTTGCAAATACCGAAGAAGGTAGAAAAGATAAAGAAGAGTTTGAGAATTTCTTTGGAGAGCACGACAAGATGTTTATAAACATATGCAAAATGAAAAATTATATCCGCCCGGTACAGTTTATTGGATTATCGAAAATGAAAAAAAACCTTATTGTGATGCTCGTGATGACGATGAAGCAGAAGGGAGCAATAAAGAAGAAGAAAAGGCTTCTGACGTTAAAGGAAACGGAAACGAAAAAGAATGTAATGTTAACAACGATGATGATATATTTGAGAAAAAGGGTAACATTACGAGGAGTTCTGATAAACAGTATATAATGTTGGAAATTGATGATGAATCAAAAATTTTTGAAAAAATTTGGTTTTCTTCTCATATGTATGGTAAGTAAAAGGAGGTTATATATTATGAGATGAACTTTATTTTTAGACGCCTTTTCTAACTGAATTTTTTTTCATATTTGCAAACGTGTAGATTATTAAGTCGAAATTTTAGTACAATCACGTGTCAAAATACGAGTATGTTTATTGAATAGTGTACTTATTTGAGTAATAGTTGTGATGAAACTATGACCCTATCATTTAGTTACGTAAATAGTAGAGAATTGGTTGACTAAGCTAAATTGGCAATGATGTTTCCGATGTTTATGGTATGTGAAGTGGAAAACTCCTAGTTGTGATGGGCCCTCAATATTGAAACTTGTTTAATTATTAAATCTTCTTGGTGACCAATCAAAATTTTCAAATTCTCAAATTAAAAAAAAAAATTTTGATTACTATTTAATTCGGAATCGAAACAATAATGGAATAAAGTATAAGGCTTGTCCTAAACGAATAATAAATATAAAATAAATGGTATTTATATCCAATTAAATATATCAATAAAGAATATGCAGAAAGTTATTTACTTTAATACTTTTTTCATAACTTGTTAAGTCCGGACTAATTATGTAATATTTTTTTGTGACTGATCATGTGATGTCCGACTAATTTCCCGAAAAGGCTAGTAAAACAGTACCTGGTTTCAAAATAAATTGATTTGTTTGATGAGGATCAGGTTCTAGGTTCTGATTTGAGAGTCGGGGAACACGTACAACAAAATGTTCCCATCACTTGTGATACATAGCATATAAATATAAACAAGTGTTTAAATGTGATTTTCAACCGACAAATTTTGTTTCTTTGTTGTATCAACTACGATGACTTTTCGAGTCTCAACATTTCGAGCAATAAATAAAACTAAAAGTCCAAGTTCGTTTCGTTCACTACATAAAACACTAAATTTAAGCGCGACACCAGCAACTGAATCAACTTCCTCTTCTAGCCCGACTACTAATTCACCACCACCACCACCCCCCAGGTTAAGGGTTGCAAGTACCTCAAAACAAATTAGGATAACAACAAATAATTCGTTGAGATTACATCCAAAATTTGGAAAGAATCAAAATTTACCAATTGATGATGAATTTAAGGAACGTTTAAAAAAATTATTGCATAATTTTCAAGCACCTATCCGATACGTCATTGCTTATGGTAGTGGCGTATTTCCGCAACAAGGTTACGATAAAAAGGTGATAAAACATTAAATATTTATTAAAAAAATTATTATATTGCTTGTGAATTTATTTATTTATTTATTTTATTTTATTTTAAGAATAAACCCATGATTGATTTTATATTTGCAGTTGGACATCCACAACATTGGCATTCATTAAACATTAATCAAAATAGAAATCATTATAGTTTTATGGGCACTTTAGGTAGCGGTGCTATAACTATTTTACAAGAAAAATTTGGTGCGGGTATTTATTACAATCCATATGTCAAAGTCGAAGATACGGTATGTACAATTGAAACTTTTTCAAATAATATTATCAAATAATTAAATTAATACCCCTTTATATCCCTTAGTTGATTAAATATGGGGTCGTTTCAATTGATAAAATGTGTAAAGACTTATTAAATTGGGAAACACTTTATTTAGCAGGTAGAATGCATAAACCAGTTAAAATATTAAGCGATGATGCAAGGGTCAGATTAGCACAACAAGTAAATTTAGCAAGTGCATTACGTACTGCCTTGCTTTTATTACCAAAAGATTTTACGGAAGAAGAACTTTATCTAACAATCTCTTCCATATCATTCAAAGGTATTTATTTACAAATGAAAGTTGTCATGGAATTTTTTTTTTTTTTAGTAAAGTAATAAATTGTGATGATGATTTATGTTTAGGTGATTTTCGTAAATATTTCGGAGAAAATCCCAATAAGATAAGGAATGTTGTATCAAGACAAATGAATAATTTTAATTTATTATATGGAGGATTAATTCAAGGATTACCTATCGTTGATTTTGTCGCAAATGGGAAATTGCAGGTAAAAAGAGTATAATTTTTTAGCTGATAAATAGATTTAAGGATTTTTTATTAAATAACATTTGTAATAAATAGCAAGATGATAGTCCAAAGGCAAGAGCACAAATGATACAGAAATTACCTAGAACATTAAAGTATAAAGTACAAGAGGAACATAGAATGGTATTGGCTGGGAAAGGAATCCATTGGCCGTCAGGTGAGATATTGAATCAATCGAAGGAAAGTTATTAAATTATAAGTACTTTAAGTTATTTATTTACTTATTTATTTAGATGATTTTGACGCTTGTAAGAGTATTGCTAATTCAGGAAATCATGTCGATTATATAAATACTGGTAAGTTAAACACTTTGCTCCGGATTTATTTAATTTAATTTTTTATTAACATTTTTTTTTTCTTTTTTATCTATTTTTTATTTTTATTTATTTTTATTTCTAAAAAAAAAAAAAAAACAAATAAAATAAAATAAAATAATTTCATATTGGTTTATTATTGTAAACGTTTTTAATTTTTTATAATGAATTTTATTAAGGATTGAGAGACATTATATTTAAACCGGTATTATCACAAAGTTTAAAAGGAATATTAACAGCTGGATTAAGTAAGAGCACAACATATGCTTGTAGTAAAATAGGAAAATGGATCAGGAGGCCAACATAATTATTAAGTTTAACGTTAAGGGTAAATAAATCTTTTTTTTTTATTGGTAAATAAAGTGTTGGATTATTTTTTTTATTTTAAAATATTAGTAAAATAGAGGCATACAGTATATATATACATATATAGAGTTAAATTTCATTGAGTTTATTTAGAGACAACTCATAAGAAATAATTTCTTTTTTTTTTTTTTTTGTTTTTTTTATAAAGCATTATAATAGATGAGTTTTGAATAAAATTGTAGTTTAAACAGACATATTATTAAACCTTAAAGATCCTTAATTTCATATTATTAATACATTAATATAATTACATTCCTCATAAAAATTTTGTACATACTTTACATATCATATGTTGATCATTATATCAATTCAAACATGCGAATCTTTTGCCATTAACAAGATTTTGCCAAATTACCCCGTAAATGTATTTTTTTTTTTTTTTTATAGCGCAATTTATAATTAGATGCACATTGTTTCCAAATCGTCGATTTCTAATTTAATATCATGTATATCTAATTTTAAATATTCTTCTTCTTCTAAATAATCATAAGCATCTTTTAATAATTCTTCAATTTGATTTTGAGATGATTGGATAGCGGAATTCATTTCGTTTTCTTTTTGATCTAATAAATTTAATAATTCATTGATTGACAAATTTTCCAAAATTAAATTTTTATTATTCGAAGATACATTGACGTTGAAGGAAGAAGAATTTTTGTAATCTTGAATCGAAAGAGAATTGTTGGAAGGAGAACAAGAAGTTGTTTTATAATTACTCTTCTTGATAGAAGAATTCTTCTTTTGCAATTTATTTTTTTCAATTTTCTTCTTGGTATCTTTGGTTATTTGTTGTCTATCCCTGGTTTGTAAGAAGACCAATCTCGACCTAATGTTATTTAATTCGACCAAATTATTTAATTCGAATTCGCTCGCGTCTTCTTTAATCTTTCTAGCCAATTCCAATTTACATAATAATTCCCTTTCGATGAAAGCTTTCTTGAATAATAATTTTAGTTCCAAGTGCTCAATTTGTTTATACAATAATGAAAGTTTACGGTGATGTTTTTTTGTTTGCTTTGTTGGTGGTGGCTCCTTTGGAAGTTTTGTCGTTGGTGAAGTTGGGGAGGATGAAAGTGAGGAGATAAGTGGAGAAAGTACTGAAGGGGTTAAGGAGGCCGTTATTGTTGTTAAGATCGTTAATGATTGATTTAATATGCTCTTTTGTTTTGTCATGATCTTAAAGATATATAAAAAGGAGATTAAAGAATGGAAAGAATTAGGGATAATAAAGGTGATTACTTTTGGATTTAAAAAAGAATATTAAGAAATTAATGTAATACGTTTTGATATAATACTATTTTACTTTTAATTCGTTTCGATACGATATATACAAAAAATTAAAGTCGTTTTATTAAATCGAAGATGATTTTTAAGGAAAGGAGTGAGAAAAATCGTTTCTTAAAAAGAAAAAAAAGGGACGTAAAAATAAAATCGTTTACAAGAACAACATTCGTTCAGATTAAAAATAGAGATCGATTCATCAATAAAAAAAGAGAGAGAGGGAGGTGGAGAGGGAAGGGAATTTCGTCAAAAATATAAGAATCGAATTCGAAATACGATATGTTTAATTTTTATTTTTTTTGAAAAATAAAAGGTTTTTTTTTTTTTTTTTTTATTTGAGTTTCGTTCCTTTAAGTCAAAAACTGATGTAAGAGTGATGTAAAATCAAATCATATATATAATTTTGAAAAAAAATTTTTTTTTTTTTTTTTGATTATCAAAAAAAAAATTTTTTTTTTTTAAAAATTATCCGTTCTAATTAATTTTTTCCTCTCATGTATTGATATGCTATTGTATGTATGTTGTATATTAATTCTATATGCTGTTGTGGTATACTTCATGTATAAAATGCTGGTGTAATAATTAATGCTCGATGCTAGTGTGGAAAAAAACCTTTTATGTCAAAGAGATGAAAAAAAAAACAGAAAGAAGATTTATTCGGAAAACCTTAAAAAAAAAATTTTTATTTCGGAACGTTTTTTATGAGTCACAAATTGTAATGAATTTATCATCGGCTGCGAATTGGAAACATGAACTCCCTAACTTTAAAAAATTCAATTATGGTAATAAATTTTAATTAACAAACAAATAAATTAAATTACAGTTTCTTAATTAGTTATAGTAGATATGTACCGTGAAATTCAAAAAAAACAATAAAATAAAAATTTTTTGAATTCGGTCATGTATATATATATATATAAATATATATATATATATTGTATAATCTTTTAATTCGTGAGGAGGTTTTTTTATTTTTATTCATTTGCGGGGCTTGGTAATGATAATTTCATTTTTGTCAGGGAAATTAATCAAATGGTCTTGTTTTTTGAATATAGAAGAGATCATCTCGAAATTTTTTTTTTTTGCAACATAGGACAGTGGCACCGGACAAACCCATCCACTAAGGCGTCTGTCATTTACCAGAAGTATCATCATCAACTATCCAAATAAAGTAAGATGGATAATCTTATGCGGTGATTACTAATTTAATTTACCTTAACGGGTTTGATACACACAATCGATCAAATTTCGCAAAACTCGGTATTTTTAACTCGTAATTATGCGAGCAATCGGCGCTTTTTTTTTATATTATTATTGTTGTATGAAAAGTACACCTCACAATAGTCGTAATTTCGAATGAATTTAGGGGCAAAAATGGCGCCAAAAAAAAGAAAAATTTTAACGTCATTCAAATACGATCATCATTGTGTATTGTGGTATACGCAAGCAAGTCGTTTCGCGTGTGCAAATTTAGAAATTCCAAGGAGAGGTGACAACAATTCATGAAATCTCATTACATTGTCATTCCATGTCCGATGTCGAAAAAATAAAGGAAAGTAGGTTCATAACATGTGTAAATCACGTGTGAGGAACAAGGGTCTCATGCGTCTGCTTATGAAGGAAATAATTGATTGATCTTAATCTTATCAACGTTATACAAGGAAAGAAAAAAAAAAAGAATAAGAAACTTATCACATTTAATTAATTAATTAATTATTATTATTATTATTTATTTATTTATTTATTTATTTATTATTATTATTAATTGTTAATTATTAATTATTAATTATTATTTTTTAATATCATCATTTTTTTTTATTCAATCTAATCCAAAGATCGAAGATGATCACGGGATAAATTAATTTATCCAAATGTGAAATTAATATACCCAAAATTAGATCTAATATTCCCTTTTATGTACAGCTTAATGTGAAGATCTTTACCGACAAATAACTTTTAACATCAATTGTTTTTTAAGAGAAATATTATTTGAACTTTTTTTTCTTTACTGTTATGATATATGAAGAGATTTATACAAATACGAGTATCGTATTTGATATCATTTAATCAATAAAACCTTCAATATAAATTCAACAATTTATGAACTTTTTGCTCAGTAAATTTTTTTCTTGTTTTTATGATACATGTGATAAAAACCTTGAAAGATGTATATAAATTAAGCCATAATGTTGAAAAAATAATACACGGTCTATTTCATTTTCCCTGATAATGTTCTAATTCAAGATTGGTATGGTTCAATTCATGCTTAATTGGTTGATTTTGATTGATTATCTTTTAAAAAAAGTCCGAGTTCAACATAGCTAAAATATAATGTAAAGATGAAGGAGTTCTCAGGTAGTTAAAATATTTCACGTGTGAAAAATTTTTGTATAAAGGTGAAATCTCCGTTCCAAGTTGAATTTAATGAACAACACATGATGTTGACTCTCAAAAAAATGCTGAAATGTTGAGAATAGTCAATCGAGTTTATTTAGATATAAAACAATTCCTTCTTGAACACGGAAACAATTAATGATTTCAGTAAATTTTTATTTATTATTATTTTTTTTTTTTTTGTATCAAAATGGATCTTTCATGTCAGATTACAAGCAATTTAACTCTCAAATTTTAAGGGACTTTGATTTTAAAAGTTCTCATACGGCTGCAAATGAACTTTTCTATTTCTTTTGATCGAATAAGAAGACAGATTCTACATTTTTGAAATTTTACAGAAACTTAGCACTCTTTTTTCAAAGACCGAATTGTGCCATCAAAAAAAGCATAAGTTTATCGCATCGCAAAACTTCAATCAATATTTCAATTCTTAATCCCTTTTATTAAAAAAAAAAAGAGAGATTAATATATATATATATATATATATTTTTAAGTGAAGTATAAAATGTTTCCCCGGATTGGTTCCTCCAAAACCTTCAAGGTCTTTATAAGATCGATCCCTCTCTCTCGTTGAGAAATATTTTTCACAAGGTTAGAATATGCACGATTCATTCTTATTCGCATGTATATATGATATGTGTCCCGATCTCCAAAATCTTTCTGCGCCACGACCAACAATACGAACGTTATGGATCTATTGTTTATCTCACATGACAAACTTGTAGGCTTAACCATAAAGAGGCAATAAAAATAACCCTATTTATCACATGAACCATGTTTCACCCCATGGAACCTCGTCGAACTTCAAAGAAATTTTAAACCATGATTAAAGGAAACAAAGCCTCAGTACCCGTCGTCACATTTTATAAGTCCCCGATGCTGTCGATAATTTCTTAATATTCATCGACTTTTATACGTTCGGGAAGTTTCCCTAAAGGTTTTCCCTACGTGCAAATTTTTTATCTTATCCAAAATATCATAGATTTTCTAGATAAAACACTATACCATAATAATCGTTTCCATATGAGGCTGAAACTTGGCTAAAATGGATATGCGTATAATGATGTAATAAAATGCGATTACGCCAAACTCGTTTTTTTTTGAACATTTTTTTTTTTGTTTTGAATGCCTGGAGGTGATGATTAAGGGTCTTAATTTCATTGGAAGGCTTGCAAATGTTTATCTCACGTATCTATGATCAGAAAGGGAAGATCGGAATCATATCAACAAAGAAATAATTGGGTAAAGATTCTTAACCAATCATAAATAACAAAAATTGTGGATCAAGGAAAAAAAACTTTTAATTGGGTAGATTCATCGCATGTATTATCATCACATCGTGACACAATAGATGACATTTACTATGATCTGTCACCCGTTACACGATTCCTAAATGTCTATAAAAACATTTTTATTGTTTCCCCCTTTTTTTTTTGTTTCGAGTTTTCCTTTTTTTAGTTTTATCTTGGTAATTTTTTTTTAAAAAAAAAAATAGAAATAAAAAAAAAGTTCGCGCAAACACTTTTTTCATCAAAGCATTAAAAAAAAAATTGTTAAATATGACAAGAAGAAAAAGTGCCCCCAAGAAACAACAAGTAGAGTCGTATTTTGACGCGGAAAGAATCTTGGATGAAAAGAAAGAAGATGGAAAATGGTATTACCTTATAAAGTGGCTTGGTCATGATAAAAATGGAAACCCTTGGCCTTCAAGCTGGGTAAAATATCATTTTTCTAGGATGTTTGCTTCCTCTTTTTTTTCTTTTCCTTACCTTTTTTTTTTTTTTATATACAAATTCATTATAAAATATTATAGGAACCAAAAGAAAATTGTACTCCATTGTTGTTAATTGATTGGGAAAAAGAAAAAAATATCAACAACCAGGAAGAGGAACAAAGTTACGAGAAAGAACAAGAAGAAGAACCGAACCGGGAAATTGAAATCTTGGTAGAAGAAGCCCCACAAAATGATGTGCAAGATCTGGATGATAAGCCTGATAACGAAGTGATGAACTTAGATAAGACAGATGATAAAATTAATGAAGTTGATGATAAGATAAATTTCAATCAGCTTAACCAAGTTTTGGATAAATATTGTCACATAAATACATCTCAATCATCAGAACCTAAAAAAGATGCCAACAATTTTCATAAAATCAAGTTCTCCCCTAAGGTTAAGCTTGTCAAGATAAGCCCGATACAACCGATTATTGCTAGTAATACCCCGATAAAAAGTAATATTTTAATAGTAGAACATAATGATAATGAATCCCTTTCAAGTGTTTTTAATAATTCAAAGTTTCTAATGAACGGTTATCATTCCGCAAATAAAGTTATTAATGGAAAGAAATATTCCCTTCCTTCACAATCTGGTAGACTTTCATTATTCAATCTAAATAAACGAGGTCCGGATCATGTTCAAGAGTCAAATGATAATTCAACAACAAAGAAGCAGAAAACCGAAATTGTTCCTGTTCCCGAAACGAATAATATCATCTCCAATGTAGAACCTCCAGTTTTACAAACAACAATTTGTAATGATGGTAATGACAAAAAAGATACTTCACAACCTGATGAATCGGCGACACAATCCAATAAAGTTCTTCCTAGTGGTAATTCATTAAATTCACACAGTGTACCTACCAGCTCAACACATTCAGGGGCTATCCATGTGAATTCAGAAACTATAAAACAAGCTTATTCCCGAATCAATAATAAAAATGCATCGAGTTCTGGTTCTGCAAATTCAACATCATCCAACCTTTCTAAATTTCGTCCGATCGCTGCTAAAATCGCACCGGCACCATCTCAATTTACCATTTCCGGTGTTGCTCCCAATGTTGGTAAAGTGAATTCCTCATCAAGCGTAGGAAAGTTGGCCAGTAGTAGCACGTCGACATACAAACAAAATTTGCCACTAGCAAACAGGTTGGCCAGTATAAGAACTCCGGTTCCTGTTGATAATTTTCCCAAAAGTAATGTTTCAACTACAAGTGCTCAGATTCAATCTGACAAGCAACATACCAGTTACTTTCATAAATCATTTGTGCAAAAAAATGACGAAGTTACGCAATCCAACCAATCTACTGATAGTCAACCATCTCAAAAGGTTTCAACACCTAATAAACAACCTACTGCCAATGAAAAATCATCTTCGAATTCACAAAATAATGGGTCTGGATCTACTGCAATGGAAATCGATGATTCTTCTTCTTCTTCTTCATATAATCACCCATTCTACCAATTGCCTTTAGAAAGACTGGTAGGTTTAATCATCATGATTATCTTATTTCCTAAGATTTTTATTAATTCATTTCCTAAATTACTTAGAAGGAACCAACTGTATCAAACATAGATTTATGGATGAATGAATGGGCAAAGGCAAAGTCTTTGAATGATACTTTAGAGAGAGAGAAGAATGAATTACTCAAAGAAAAAAATAAATATGCTAGAGAAGTTCATCATCTCAGGCTTGAGGTTGAAAGGAGACCACAATCTGAATCGGAATCGTCCGAAGTAATCAAAAAATATCATGAGAGTATTCAAAAATTATATAGTAAATGGTTAGAAACTCAAAATAAATTTGTCACAAAGAGTAAGGAATTTACAAACCTTGAAACGGAACTTACAAAATTACAGTCAGAATATACTCAAATTAAAAAGCTTGTCATGGGAAAGCACACAGAGGGAGAATCACTTAAAGATGATTTGAAGAAGTCAGCTCAAGAATTGAACAAACTTAGAGATGAAAATAAAAATTTGAAGGCAGATTGGTCATGTTTAATGAGAGACGGTGCTATAATGATGAGAGAAGATTATTGTAAAATCACAAAACTTCAAAATTCGTTGCAGGATTTAATTCAACAAAGAAGCAATGTTAACGAAGAAATCAATAGGTTGAGAAAAGAAACCAAACAGCAAGTAAATAAGATGAGAGAGTCTAATAGAGATCATGAAATGTTATACCGACAAATTGAAAATTTGAAATTACAAAACAAATTGCAAGAAACAAGCTTGAGGATGGCCGAGGAAAATTCAACAATTGCAGAAAATACTGCCAAACTAATGCTTGAAATAAAAAAACGATCGGTTGGAGATATTCTTAAAAAGCACGATACTACTCAGCAATCATTATCTTTCTCAAATGTCAACAATGGCAATGTTCAGACCACATCATCATTAACTTTTTTCTCAAATTCGCCAAGTATCGTCAATTATAATAATAAGAAGAATAATAATAATACTACATCAAATAATACCGCTGTTCAATCCAAATCTGCGGAAAAGGTAACAACATTGCAGAGACTAAGCTTTCAACATAGAGATAACCCAAAAAAGCTTGTCAATACGGAAAAACGGGTCAATCAAAATAACTTCGCGCAAGGAGGTAAAGTTCCTTGATTTAAAAATGCTTTCCATTTTTTTTGGAAAGTTATGTGACTAATATTTGAAACTTAATTATTAATAGGTTCTAGTACTAATGTTGTGCAAGCTAGAAATGTTCCCTTAATTACCAAGTCGGTTCGTAATCTTCATTTCTCCAAATTGGCTGAAAAACCCAATGCTTCGGCAAATGCAAAAGTACAATTACCACCTCATCTACGTCTTGTACAAGGTAAAAGATCGCTTGGAGGTCCTTTAATCACATCCGCTGCAATAACTTCTGTACCTTCAAGAAGATTGAATTTACACTACCCCATGTTGACTGATACGAAAACCAAGGTAACTGCAAATCCAATTCCACGCTATCCTACTAAATCAACCCAGCAAATGAATTATCTTTGTGAATGGAATCTATGCAAGAAATTATTTAGTAAAAAATCAGAATTGAAAAATCATCTTAAAGATCATCTTAATTTTGGTAAAGTTCCAATCGGGAAAGATAAAAATATTGATGGTACTGATGATTTAGTAGCAGTTAAAGTGGAATTTTGATGTTTGTTGCGATGTCATGTCGATGTCATGTTTTACAAATAAATATTAACTAGGAGATAAACTAGAGTTCTAATATTTTTTTCTTTAGAAATTACATTGAACATAAAAACATTTGATTTCCATTTCTGATTCAATTTTTTTTTTTTGTCATTTGCATACCTTTTTTTCAAAAAAAAATTATATATACAGAAATAAGGCCTTTTGTGTTTTCTGAATAAGCAAACTTAAGACATTCTCTTTTAGAATCATTCTAAATGTATTATCATTAAGTAAGTATTTGAATTTCAATCTTTTTTAAATTAGCATCGAAAATCATTAAGTATTTGAATTGCATTTTTTGTTCCTTTCGAACTTTTAGAATTAAAAATAAAAAACTTTGTTGAGCTTTAATCGTAAAGCTAATATCGCATGATAATCTGTAGGATAGATAATCTAAATTTTAAGGAACTTAAGTATGGTTTAGATTGGTGGTTAGAGTTGAGTTTTTTATTCTATCATTCTCGTCTGAAATAAAAAGCTTTTTTTTTTTTTTTGAGATTATATATTTCGTATGATTTTAAAAATACATTTTAAGACATGATTATGTGAATATCGTTATAATATTCTTAATTTTAAAATTTTTGAAAGATAAGTTATGTAAATAAGTTTGCATTTGTAATTTTTGTGGCCATTACTGTAGATATCTATCAATAAAACAATAATGATTATTATTATTTAATGGATTAACTGCTTAAATTTTTTAAATAAAAAGTCAACCGAACCCTAGTTTGCAGACGATATTTTTCGTGCGTGTTGAAGTAAGAAAATTAGAACTTTGCCTTTCAATTAAATACATACAGTGAGTTGTAATATTATGTGCAAATTTACTTGGAACTTTTATTGCGTTAATCATTGTTAACTTATGTATTTATTATATAATTAACTAACCGTTTTGATCCGGTTATTTTACGGATTTTAATGTCCTTTGCGAAAAGATAATCATCTTTTTTTTTTCTGTACCGCTTCCGCATCAACTTGACTTATATTATCGATGGCGAACGAAAATAAAAACCAAGATACCTTAATCATTGCGCCAACCCGATTATGTTAATTCTGGAGGTCGATCTATAAACTCCGCAAAGATATCTCCGCCAAAAATATAAAGATTTTTTTTTGAATCATATTTCCAGCGACTTTGCTTTAATAAAACGAAATAGTCATATATTAAACTATGTTATTGATTAATTTATTAATTTACTCCAAACGTGCACGACGTAAGTTCATACCTCAGAAGTATTTCAATTTTTGAATAAATTCATTTATTTATACTTTGAAATAAAGATTATTTTTGTTCGCCATCTTTATCATTTTTCTTCACATAGCTCATTTTTATGTTTTTTTTCTCTCATCTGGTCAAGGAAAGTTTATTTTGGAAATTAAACCTTCAAACGAATATACATTTCAAGCTTTCCAAAGCCATATATAATGGTTATAAGCTTGTTCGTATTCCCATTTACCGTCTTCATCTGTAGCTTTTTTACAATTTCTATGGATTTCTCTAAAAAAAAAAAAAACAGAAAAATTCATTGTTATAGCATCTTTCTTAACCTGAGGATTTTTTTCTTTCGCTGCTTATAAATCGCTTTAGAATTTTATCCCGATTGAGGTATTCGATAATCTTCCCATTTGTTCATTTATCTCATCTAATCGAGAAAATCTTAATATTAATTAAATATATACATTTTAACGTTTTCATGAAATAACCTAAAGCTATAAGCT